AATGACTACCGACCCCTGAGGGCGCACACCTGGGAAACTGATGCCTGTTCTGCGGACACCCTCCCCATTTTTCTTTGCATGAAATAGAATTCACTCTGCAGCCCCCCTCCAGGTCATTTCCCCTCCCCGGTGACGCGGGTGCAGAGAGGGCCACGAGACCCTTCTGTGCCAGGCTCTGCCAGTTTTCCCATTCCCAAGCCTAAGTGTTAATATTTGCAGGCTCGGCTGGGTTTAAATTGGCTTTACTGTGGACACCTTGCAGCTTCCAATAACAGAGACAAGTGATAAAAAAAAAAAAATCTGCACAGAGAGCATAATTCGGGAGAGAGGGACAAACGAGGCTGAGTCAGCAGATGCCAGACCTGCGGGCCGATCTGACCGGCTCTGGTCTCAGCCCTGGGCTTTAGTCCAGAAGCCCTTGGCCACTGTCAACAGCGGACTCCCTCCTGGGTGCTTCCGAATCGCCCTAACCCCCTCTCCTCTTCTGCTGATTAATATCCCAAAGTCTGCGGGCCCTTCAATGAAACCTCACCTTGGGGATCTGTGGCGATCTACTCACTGTGTCCTGATAAGAGCAGGGCCTCCCCAAGCTTCTCCCAGGGGCTCAGGAACTCAGTCCTCTTGGACTAGGTCATAGGAAAAATATGCCATGTGCTCGGAATATGACTTCTAAAATTCTAGTTAACCCAACCGTTTAATGAACACCTAGGCCACGGCTATGGCGAGAGGCAACTAGGCCACGTGCGGTGGAGAGAAGACTGTTCCCAGCTGGCCGGGCGCCTCCCTGCCCTCCCTGCCACGTCCCTATTTCTCTGCCCTCAGCTGAGCCATATGTGGGGGTGCTGATCCCTCTCTAACTTCTGTGCTGAGCACTTGGGAGGCTCAAGTAAAACCCACTTGAAAGGGCTCTGCAAAGTCAGGTTATATAAACCCCACAGGTCAGGAGGCAGGAGAGGAATTTTCACGCAAAAGCACAGGCAACAGGGAGCCTCAGGGCCTGACCCACGAAGGATCCAGGGAGAGGGTTCTGCCCAAACCTGAGCTGGCCTGAGGTCTAACTGCAGTTTTGCCAACTTGCTCTTTTTTTAAAAATATGTTTTCATTGATTTTTTTTTTTTAAGAGAGGATTGGAGAGGGGGAGAAGCATCGATCTGTTGTCTCCCCCACACACCCAGACCTGGGATCAAATCTGCAACCAGGGTATGTGCCCTAGACCGGGAATCGAACCAGTGACCTTTTGGTGCCCTGGTCAAAGCTCCAACTGAGCCACACTGGCCAGGGCTAACTTGCTCTAACTTGGGTGTGCATTTGTCTGTTTTAACTATGTTTTATTGATTTCAGATGGAGGAAGAAAGCGGGAGAGAGAAACATCAATGANTTGAAAGGGCTCTGCAAAGTCAGGTTATATAAACCCCACAGGTCAGGAGGCAGGAGAGGAATTTTCACGCAAAAGCACAGGCAACAGGGAGCCTCAGGGCCTGACCCACGAAGGATCCAGGGAGAGGGTTCTGCCCAAACCTGAGCTGGCCTGAGGTCTAACTGCAGTTTTGCCAACTTGCTCTTTTTTTAAAAATATGTTTTCATTGATTTTTTTTTTTTAAGAGAGGATTGGAGAGGGGGAGAAGCATCGATCTGTTGTCTCCCCCACACACCCAGACCTGGGATCAAATCTGCAACCAGGGTATGTGCCCTAGACCGGGAATCGAACCAGTGACCTTTTGGTGCCCTGGTCAAAGCTCCAACTGAGCCACACTGGCCAGGGCTAACTTGCTCTAACTTGGGTGTGCATTTGTCTGTTTTAAATATGTTTTATTGATTTCAGATGGAGGAAGAAAGCGGGAGAGAGAAACATCAATGATGAGAGTCATTGATGGGCTGCCTCCTGCACGCCCCCTGCTGGGGATCAAGCCTGCAACTGGGGCCTGTGCCCTGACCAGAAATTGAACTGCGACCTCCTGGTTCACAGGGCGATGCTCAACCGCTGAGCCACGCCGGCCAGGCAGCCTTTGTGTCCTCGCGTGGTAACAGGAACAGGAGCTGCCCCTCGCAGCTGGGGTGAGGCAGGCCCGCTGAGCGCAGTTGCAGCACTGCGCCAGGGTGAGCAGGCAGGTCCCTCATATGTCACCTGGCCAGAGCCCAGGTCCTGCCCACTTAGCCCGTGGGGGTGAGCCTTCCTCTCCCCTCATTACCAATATCCACGCATGATGAGTCAAGAGCTGACGCCCGGGTTTCCTCGGGTTATTCGTGGTTTGGCCCAGGAGCTGCTGCATGTTTACAGGTCTGGGTCAAGCCTGTCCGAGGAAGGAGAACCAGCCTGCGGCTGAACACGAGAGCTGGCGGGGGGAGATGGGGAAAACAAGTCACATCTGCATCCACAGATGAGCACTTAATGGCCCAGCACGGAGTCCATCAGCACACACAGTGCTCATTCCCTCCCCTGCGGGGAATCCATCCCGGTGCCCTGAATTCCATTTTCTGTAAACATTCTAACAAAAGGGACAGAAAAGTACTTGTTTAGGACAATCTGTCAGAGGCAGTCGTAAAAGCATCTCAAGTATCTAACAGCTCCTCCTTTAAAACAATTTTCTTATTGATTTTTAGAGAAAGGGAGGGAGGGAAAGACACACCTCTGTGAGAGAAACGTCGATTGGCTGCCTCCTGCACGGCGCCTCCTGGGGGTCGAGCCCGCAACCCGGGCACGTGCCCTGACTGGGAATTGAACCTGTAACCTTTGGGTGCACAGGGTGACACCCAACCCACTGAGCCGTACCGGCTGGGGCCAGCCCCTCCTTTTTACTTTTATTTTTTTAAATCCTCACCAGAGGATATTTTTACAGTCGTTTTTTTCCAGAGAGGCTGGCCAGAATGGTCGCTAAGTCAAAGGGCCTGCTGCTGCCAAGGCGACAACCTTCGGTCTCAAGCCAGTGTTGGGCCCAGAACAAGTCATTTCCCGCAGCGTGGAGCACGCAGGGTAGCTGTGGGCCCGGCCGCCCTGCGCGCCTCCTCTGACAGTGTCACTGAGGCGGCGGGAGGCCTTCCCAACCCCACTGAGAACGTTCGTCTGCTCCGTGTCTATTTAACTGCTTGTAGGCGCACAGGAGGGGGAAAGGCGTCGGCCGGCCCCTCGGTGCTCGGCCCACGTGACAGATGACCTCATTGGTGTTGACCAGAAAGTTCCAGGCCGGCTGATTAGGGTCCTGGGAGAGGTTGGAAAGCAGCTAGGTCAGGTATTAAAACTAGGTTTGGGGTCACAGGCGAGTAGCAGGAGTGACGCCACTGGGGGCCTGTGGGTTTTCTCTTCAGCTCCCCCCTTTCCATTCCTACTCTGTTTAACCGAGAGATGCAACCTCAAATGAAGGGCTCGGCATCCTCGGTTCCCCGGGCAGCCCCTTGGATCCTCGGTTTCGCTCGATCTCTGTGACCTTCACTGGTCAGGGTTCCAGGCTCACAGTCCTTAAAGCCAGCCAGCCACTCTCTCCCTCCCCTTTCGACTTCCCAGGGAGATCGTCTGCTCGGCAGTTGGCAGATGCAGACATGAATTTAGAGCTTTCGAGGGAATACAATGCTGGGGAAGATTATTACGACGTGGACGCGAGGAACGTCCAACCTGTCGCATTTTTGTGAGCGCACTGGAGCCAGACTGAGGACAACTGCTGGGAAGCACAACCTCAGAGGACCGAAAAAAATGCTCCAGAAAACGGCGGTTTGGCAGCTTATTTTATACATTAGAATAAAGGAGACAGGAGGGGGGTCACGTGAAACCCACTAGCGGTAGATTAAGGGCTGAGAGGAAGCAAAGCAGGGAATCCGAAATGAAGAGTAACGTGGAGACACGTGTGCTTGACGTTTACGGCACATGGAGACGGTACGTGCGGAAAGGTAACTACCTGGTCCCGGCTCTGGCTCGGGGGGAGGCGGTGCCTCCCAGGGCGCTGGAAACGAAGATTATGCTGACACGTGAAGGTGTGTTCTCTCAGACGCACACAGACAAGGGACAACTTCCACGGTAAAGGCTGACCTTTGTCAAGGAAGCTACGGGCCTAGGACAGGACTACCTGCCATGACCCATGTTGAGTTAGGCACTTTTACGTTCAGATCGCCCTGTGTGGTTACTGTCCGTCTGAGTTTGAAGGCCCATCTGCGGGCCTCCCTGGGCTTGTCGGGTTTGGCGTGTGGGCCCTTTCGTCCACACTGAAACCCTAAGCAGGATAATGCCCAGTGTTTGGAGTGCAACTTGGAGCCACAGTCCCCAAGACCCAACACCATCCAGCAAAGACCCCATTGAAGGAGTCCCCCTTTAAGCCAAATGGCTTCCTTGGATTAAAGTGTCCAGTGTCACTAACAGAGGCTATCAACCCCTTGCTGCCAGCCTAGGTCTGCAGATCCATTAGGAGCCCACGAGCAAGGGCCTGGGAGTGAGTGACGTGGGAGCGCAGGACCCGGTTCTCAGCTTAAATGTGGAACCGGTGAGCCTGGCGTGATGAGCAGCCTTGTATGACGGCCCCAAGGGGCCCCGACCCTGGCACCCACTCCCTTGGGCAGTCCTGACCCTCGAGTGTGGGGATCACTTTGGAGATTGAATTATGAGACTGGGACTCCTGTCTTGCTAGCGCTCCCTCTTTTCATGCTTGCTTTCCTGGGTGAAGACAGTTGCCATGTCCTAAGCTGCCCTGAGGACAAACAGCTCCATGTAGCAAGGGACAGATGGTGGCCTTCAGCCAACTGCCCTGAGATGCTTAGTCCAACAGCATGTGAGGACCCAGCTCCCGCCAACAGCCACAGGAGTGGACAAGTGGGTCCACCCCCCACCCAATTGAACCCCAGCCAACACCTGGACCACAGCCTTGTGACAGGCCCAGCTCGGCGACACCCAGATTCCTGACCCAGGGAAAGTCTGAGATGACAACTGTGTGTTGTTCCAAGCAGCCAAGTTTTAGGCTACTTTGTTATATGGTGATAAAAGCTCATACGCCTGTGTGAACAATAATGTGCTTATTAAATGGGTAATAAAATCATTTAATTATTTCTGAAATAGCATCACAAATCTTTCCAAAGGATCAACTAAGCCAAATGAGCTTATCTCAACTTCAAGAAAGAAAACCTAAACTCTAGAACATGGAATAAGAGTTCAGTGCCCCACATACATGGAACTCTCGAAGGGTTCTGGCCACTCCAGGGGCCCCTGACTCCCTGCACTTACCCGCGAGTCTGAAAATCACGCTTTATTGTATTTCCTCAGGTTTGTAAACCAAGTATACCGTTTCTAGCAGATTTAAAAACAACAATGGAAAACATGGTATGTTTGTCCTCTTGGCTTAATGTACTTTGCCATAAACTTCATTTGTACAGTTAAAAATCACATTTAAAAGCAATCTCTCCCATTTATATTTTTGTCCAGAACAGACAAGTCCATAGAGACAGAAAGTGGATCAATGGTTGCCAGGGCAGGACAGACACTGGGGCATCTGCTAACAGGCATGGGTTCTTCTTGGAGTGATGAAATATTCTAGAATTTAAAAAAGAAAGCACACAAAAACCCCGCCAAATTGTACACATTAAAAATTATGAATTTCATGGTTTCTGAGTTATATGTAAATTTCAAAAAAAAAAATGTTAAGCAAGCTCTTATGGAAGAAAGTTAACATTTCCACGTAAACATCTACCCTGAGTAGTCACACTGCAGCCCCAGACTCCAGATGTGTGGAATGGCGCCAGCTCCATGGAGCAGCCTGCCACTGGCTCAGAGCCCACTTTTTTTTTGTATTATATTTTCTAGAAGAATTACCAGCAAACATCTTCCTCCAATAACTGTGTGTGTGTTTTGGTGTTTTTGTTCATTTACAAATGTTAGATTCCTGTTTTAAGACTGAGGACAATTTTTATCTCACTCTACAATCATTAGCTGGCCACTCCTCACTATGAACTGCAAGGTAAGAACACTTACCAAACAAAACATTTAAAGAGGAAGACCGTGCAGATCGTTTCAGAGATAAGATTCCACTCCAGCATCTTGCCATTTATTCGACTGTCACGCCCAGACACACATGCGGGGCAGCATATGCTCCCTGTTACTACGTAGAAACACACACTCGATGCCCAGCGAGAATCTCTACTTGACATATGGCCTTGTATTTGCATCCAGGCAAGATCTTTCAAGGAAACAGGAGGGTAGGAGAGGAAAACATTTACATTCGATAACATGATTATAAAGAACTTGAGATAGACGAGTTAAAAACAACATCTTTGAGCAATTATAAGTGACAGGACAAGTTTCCCTTTTCCCACTTGTTTCAAAGAGCGAATGTCTGTAAACTTGAGTACCGGCTCCAGCAGGTGTAGGATCCTGCTTCCGATTTTTCCACACTGAACACCATCCACACACTGAAAATGAAAGGTGGCGTCTCCGCCACGCTGTCCTTGGGCCCCGCTGCCCGCTGCAGAGGCTCGGCCTCCCTCCTCTCGCTGGCTCCCTGGATCAAATGCTTCGGTAGTCAGAGCCCCGGGCGACAATGGAGGCAGCTTCCCACTCCACAGTGAAGAATGACACAGTTCCAAAAAACCCAAAGATCACCATGAGCAGCAGTTGCCAGTGGAGCAGAAGGTAGTTACTGTAGAAAAAGGCCACGGCCGCACAGATGGACTAGGAAAAGAAGACAAGTCACGGCAGGCGCACAGGTGCCGAGCTCCGTCATGAGCCCCATGCGCTGACCCACAGCAATCTGTGCCTGGCAGGGCGCTCTGTTCTCCCTGTGTCTAGACAACACTTCACGGGTCACCAGCTCACAAACATGCACCAGAAACCCCCGCCCAGAGCCGGTGACCATCAAGTAAGCTAGTCTGTGGTTTAAAACAGTAATCTGTGAAAAACTGGAGTAGCAATGTGCACACAGTGAGGACTGTCCACACTGTGAGTGAATCCAGGCCTCTAAGAAAGTGTCTAACCTGAGTCATAGAGGCCAGAACATAAAATTGTGGGAGGCAGTTACACAGACATGAGCAGAGCAAGGACCGGGGGGCCAGGCATAGAAGGTCACCAGGGTGGAAAGCTCCAGGTACCTAGCAGCGGACAACTGCGCCCCCAGGGTGGCCTTTCCTCCCCTAGAGATAACATCTAGGCCTCAGTTGTGTTTCAGATCCAGGCCCAAAAAACAAGAAAACAAGACCATAGGCCCCACAGCTGCCCTCAGGACCAGCGGCATTGACTGATGACCCCCTGCCCTGGCACTGACCAATCAATCAGTGGAGACCCAGGCCCTGAAAGGACACGCCTGGAAAGCTGTTGAATATTCTATTGAGCTCTTCTCCGGTGACCTGCCCAAAATCTCCTCCCTTAAAACCCTCGGGACAGCTCTCCCTCCTGGGAGCACGCCCTTGTCTTTCCCTTTCCCTTCCTCCTCCCTCTCCCACCGAAGGCAGGCGACCATTAGCTTCCCAAATACATGTCTCTTACAGTTCGGGTCTTGGCTCTGAATTCTTTTAGCCAGAACTCAAGTACCGAGGTTGCAGAACCCCGGTCCGGTCAGACCCCAGGGGTCTAGCACCTGGTGCCGTGCCCGCCATTCCCCCGCCTACAACAAAACCCCTTACACAAGTGTGCGGGGAACCACACTGCACACTGCTTCCTGATTCTAATCTCAAATCCCTTTAGAGGGCGTCCCTCACGTTCCTGAGAAAGCACTCAAACAAAGGATGCACAATTTGCAGGCGAGTTACCTGGACAAACTTAAAGACTGCAAACGCGGGGGCACTGTCTTCGGAGTAGAGAAAGCCCAGAATACTGAGCAGCTGTGTATTGAAGCAGCTGTCTCCGAGACCCAGCAGGAAGCTGCACAAGATGGCCACTTCTTTGCTGAAGACAAGAAAAGTTAATTTAGGGTGAGAACCAGCAGTACCTGCCAGAGCCACTTAAAACGTAAAAGCAACTCACCCACAAGGGCATTTAACCCTCCAAGTTTTAAACACTGTGAAACCACACACACCGGAATTTCCAAAGGAAGGATTTGTGCTCAAAGGCACTCGGTTCACAGCCTGGCAGCCTCTAGGCTGTGGCGTGCTGGGCAGTGAGCGCTGCTAGTGTCAGGCGCCGGGCAGCGCAGAGGCTGCTCTGGGCTAAAGGCCGCGTCCCACGAGGCTCTCAGGTCAGCACAGTACACGCGCAGCGGGGCCAGAGGACCGGCTGCCCCTCGCGGCGGCCGCACCCCTGCGTCCTGGCTGTTCTTCCCCGAGGCCCTAACTAGGCTTCACTGCTCAAAAAGCAAAGGTGAAAATTCAAGCCAGGTACTTCCGTGCTCCTTCACAGACGGAGAAAAAGATTTTGTTGGGGGAAAGGTTAAAACCAACTATAAAAATAACTCCACTTTCGACAGATTTCCATCTAAACTCACTCTGGCCCCATGCACACCTGTAGAGATAACGGCCTGCCCAGGAAAGGACCAGCAGCTCCCCTTTGAAAATCTCTGACCCGACGCCCCCCCAAAATCCTAGAGAATCGAGTCTCTGTACCTGGGCTTGATGTACGCACTGCTGTCGGTCCCCTCCAGGGGAGCAATAGGGGCGTCCCCGGGCATGTTGAGGAATATCAAGTAAAAAGCCACAAAGTGCACCAGGATGCCCAATAGCACAACTGGATTTCTACCAAAACGGTTATTCTTGCTCAGCAGGCCAAAGAGGCTCCCACCTACAAAACCAAAGAAGTCGAGAACAGAAAGCCCCAGATCAAGTTAGCAAACCAAAATCTTGATTTGAAAAAAGAAAATGGACAAATAGCTCATTTAAACAAGAAAAAAAGAAAGCTCAAACATAAAAAAATAAATAACTACTGAAACAGAAGAAATACTACAAATCAGAACAGACTTCTAGGTAAGATGGGATAACAGGAATTGGCTTTACTCTCTGCCTTAAAAAATGCACAAAAAACATGAAGCAATGGATCTGACGGCGGGACGGGTATCAGGCATCAAAGGGCAGCAATCCCCGGGACAGGAAACGAAGACGTGGGCCCAACTGCCCCGATGGCCAGAGGGGGAGGCAGGTGGAGGCGCTGCCCTGAGCCGAGGAGACAGAGCTGAGAGTCTGGGGACACCCAGCTCTCGAGTTCCCAGGAAAGGGTGTCAGACAGACAGCTGCTCAGAAACAATTCCGGACATCTGCAGGGGTCCCCTTGGTCTCTACTGAGCACTGACCAGCACATAATTTGAGGAAATTAGCAGAGACCTGGGAAAGAGGCCACCCAAAAGGATTAGAGGCATTTGTGCCCTGCCCTGAGGGCTGGGGGAGACCCTCGAGTTCGTAGCCCAGTAAGACAGAAGTAGAGGTAGTCTGGGGAACTGGAACTTACTACTGGCATCTGAAGTAAGGACAGACACCCCTGAATCTATGGAGTGTGACTCTAACTCTGCAGGCGGTGTCAGAATTGGACTGGACTGTTGGACACCCAGCTGGTGTCAGAGAGAGAAGAGGCAAGTGCTGGATCCCAAGACACTTTCCCTGAGTATTTTAAGAGGCCCTGTGTTTTCCCATTTACAGTTTTGTCTGTGAATTTTTTGGCAAGTGTCTTGTAACTTAGTTATCTTAGAATAGTGATAATAAAAACACAAAGACATAGCCATTTGGGTAAAAATAAGCAGAGAAACGGATTTAATGCCAAACCTTTTTTTCAAACTAACCTAAAATTTCTCCAATTCCGATGAAAATGCCAGAAAGCCCAATGAGGCTCTTCTCTTCTGTCCCAAACTTATTGACGGCGCCGATACAGGTTCCGTACACACCAGAGAAGAAAGTCAGTTCCAGACCTGCAGAAAAAAAAATCAGATTTAAATGAGACCCTCCCTCTCTCCCTCCCTCCCTCCCCTAGGTTTTCTTCATGTCTAGCAGTACTTGAGCTGTGTACGTATCAAACACACACACACAGCAAAAACTCATTTGGGCTGACATGTTCCTCCCAAGCAGAGCCTAAGTCTACACTACATAACTGATGAAATGGAATTAGCCACAAGGTGGCAGATGTTACGTAATTCAGATAAAAATATACAACTCAGAGGAGAGGCTTTCTTTTGTTAAAAACAGTCACTCCGTGTATAGGCAGGGGACAGGCAAGGACATACTTAACACAGTCTGTAATAGCTTTCCAAGAAAATAGGAGCACACATTTGGAAAATCAATACATACTATTGGACAATAACATTTTAATTAAACCCTTTTTCCCAGGAAAAAAAAAATTCAAAAAGTTAGTGCCGCAGTTTCAAGCCTGTGGGTAGAACTGTCCCACACTGAACGTGGGCTGGCCCTGTGTGCAGTGGAGGTGACGCCGGGCAGGTGCCAGGCTAGCTTTAGAGTCTGCTCGTTTCTGCTTTTGCCCTTTTCGGAGCCCAGGCCACTAAGAAGTCTGGCTACCCGCTGTGAGGGAAGGAGGGGCTCACGGGGGAGGACCTGCAGCTGGCCAGACACACCAGGAGAGGGACCCCGCCTGAAAGCCTGGATCGGGCCCCTTCAGACAAGCAAGTGAAACCATCTGGACTGTCCCAGCCCTGGCTGCCCTCTAACAGCACCCACAAGAGACCCCCGAGGACTTCAGAGGCACCCCGCAGCTGAGCCCCGTCAATGCCCAGAACTGAGAGACAGAACAACGTGGTTGCTGCTGTCATTTTTCAGCAACGGAAAACCAAGAAAACGGCTGAATCCCTTACAAGCACTCACCTGTATAGGCAGTCGTAATGCTAAGAAGGAGCATCTCCTTGGTGACACATAATTTAAGAGACCTTTCTGTAAAAAAAAGAAGACAATTTGGGAGTACTTAACTCGATGTCAATTAATCAAACAAAAACTCTAAAACAGTTATTCACCGAAACACCCCTTGGTCAATAATGCCAGTAAACAAATACACTGGGACAGAGGCTAGTGATGCAGATTAAAAGGCTGGAGGTATGAACTATCTGCTCCATAAATAAAATGCTTATTTCAGCTGTTCGAATATATTCCAGAGTTGTGTTTTTCCAACACGTTCTCCAGCTCTAATTAAAAAACAAACAAACATGAAACGGAGAATAGAAATAGAATCAAACAAGCAATAGAACAGGCTTGACGAAAGGTTAGGCTATTAAGAGCCAACAGCCGGCCCAGTGCAAGCTCCCCGAAGGAGCGATCATCACGGAGCAGCTCTAAGGCTGGACTCGGGTCAGAGTCCCCGGAGCTTTCTGGCCGCACAGCAGCTGAAACACACTTCCTGAGCTCTCCCCACATCTGAGGATGAAACTAGTTCTGCACACTTGTTTATGATCACTGTAGTGTTTGTTTTCCTGCTGCTCAATTTAGTTAAAATCTACAAATCTACAATGGGAAATGCATTTCTAAAGTACATATATAAAATATATATAACTTGTTAATTCAACCCGGCTACATGTGCTTGACCAGGAATCGAACCCTCAACCCTCAGTTTTCTCTTCCATAAAATGGAGAGATGGATAGGTCATATCTGCAGGTCATATCACACACATTCTACAATATACCTGAGTATGTTGTGAGAATAAAATGAAACACAGAAAGAGGGTTAGCCAGGGAGAACCCTCAACAGATGAGCTCGACTGTTCTTACAAACTACTGGGGCTCCAGAGCCCCCGCTCCGTTCTGAGCAGAAGGGGTGCCTGAGGAAATGGTCTGTGTCCTCGCTTTCCCATGTAAACTCCCAGCTCCCGAGTTCTCCGCAGCCCCCTCATGCCTCCCAGCGTGGGCGGGGCTGTGGGATCCTCACCCCTCCCTGGCATCCCCACGGGACAGAGGTATCTATGGAGAAGACTCATGACTTCAGAGCGGCATTCCTGGAAGAATGAAAATCCTGGGGTACTGTCAATGCAGTTACCAGGGAAAGGGAGGGACAAAGGCTGGCGTGGTTCCTGAACAGTTAGTTCCTGCACTTCAGATAGGAAAACACTCACTGAACGCATCCACTGCCTTTGTCATGTTGCTCCGGGCAGACCTGGTAAAAGAAAAAAATGTTTTTACCCCCTGGGGACTGAAAAGCGAACAAAAATACGATCACATTTTTACTGAAGCTTGTAAAAGTTCTGTCGCCCACGTGGTCTGGCAAACATTCCCAGTGCCCCTCGGTGCTCCCTGCTCCTGGAGGTCCCTCACGACCCATGTCCTTGCTGCAGAACGTGTGGTTCAAGTGTCACCTGGGTGGCTCTTTATTAACAATGGTACACAATTCTTTCACTCAATTTACTGAACATGTTCATGCATGTGTGTTTCAGATAAGACAGCTTAGGCAGGACAGGAATCTCCTCTGCCCTATTTTCCCCCCATAAAAACAATTTGTGGTAACTCAATTTTCTGACACTCCTACTATGTAAAATGTCAGCGTTAAAACTCTTCAGAAGCAACACCACCACCTGTGGTTCATGGTTGGACGCAGTATAATCTATTGATTAAAAATGTGGGCCGGCCAGCCGGTGTGGCTCAGTGGTTGAGCGTCGACCTACGAACCAGGAAGTCGAGGTTTGATTCTCGGTCAGGGCCCGTGCTTGCGCTGCAGGCTCGATCCCCAGTAGGGGGCGTGCAGGAGGCAGCCCATCAATGACTCATCATTGCTGTTTCTCTCTCTCCCTTCCTCTCTCTGAAATCAATAAAAAATAAAAATAAAAATAAACGTGGCCATTTCTAGTACAAGAATTCTGAAATAAGCCCCCCGGTCCCGTAGGTGTGGGGTGGGGCAAAGCTATCTCCCATTCCTTTTCCTTCTTCCTCCCTTTACTTGCTTTAAAACCTTCCCCTCACGTCTGCCCAGTATCAGGTATCAGGCTATAAAAAGGCTGGTAACCTCCAGACTAGATCCACTCAAAATATATTTTCAAATAAAAAGGAACATTTCCAACTTCTTACTCGTTGACTTCCAGGTCCTGGTCATCAGAAGACTCATCTTCTCCCAGGATGTTTTCGGAATCTGGTTTCCGAATGAGAAAGAAAAGAACTGTGCCCACCAGGCTAATCACTGTCAGGGCAATGAACACGGTCCTCCGGTCACTCTCTGGGGAGAAAGGAGAGTAGACAGCACTGGCCACATAGACAACTGCACAGTTAGCACGATGCCCGGAGCTTGTTTATAACATCGAAACACTTCCTGGTTAAATTTTTACTCTACTGCATCGGTAAAATAGGATATCTCAGTTTTTCTGTTTTTCAGTTCGAGAAATACTAATAAGCAAAAAAACAAACAAAAAAACAGCACAGGAAGTTAATCACATTCTTTTAATCAAAGAAGCATATAAAACAATTAGGGGTTCAAAACTCCGACAACTGACTCACATGCTCACACACAGCATAACCCCTTCCCACACCAGGATGCCACTTGGAGTCATTAGCTATAATCCCAGCTTAATAACCTCATGCAAGGGGAGAAGTTACTAAAGCTAAAATCTGAGAGGACTTAAGGTGCTAAGGTGCATCAGAACAATTCTGAGCAAAGCAACAAGGGTACTTTAGTGAAACGGCTATGGTGCTTTGTGCAGACTGGAGTAAAGCAAAAGTAATAGAACCAACCTGAGATCTGCGTTTTCCCTTGCCAAGCGAAATATATGTAGAGGTTTCCAAAGAACAAGCTGGGGTAAAGAAAAAAAAAAGGAAGGAAACAATGTTGGGAAGTTATTTTCATATTTCTAGTTTTTTAAACAATTTTTCCATTGCTTGTTAAATAGACAGAAAGCAGAAGGCATATCTAATTTTAAAAGTATCCACCTGCCCTAGATGATCCACCTGCCCTAGATGTTGACACTCCACCCTGACTCTTTCTGAAAAACGTAGCTGCCTTGGCTGGAGTTCCGCCTCCCTCCACGTGACAGTAACCTGACTCAGAACCGCCCTTCACAGAAGCCTTGACTCACGCCGAAACATGTGATTTATTATTGGAACTCTGGAGATGACTCTTTGGAAACAAGTGTATGCTACTTCTAGAATCATAAATTTCAAAGAATCTATGAAAATATCCATGACTTCGTTATCTGCATCTGATCAGATATTTTATTTTTCAAACTCTCCTAGAGAAGAAATCACTCATACTCCAGTTTTTTAATATCCAGCCCCTTAAAACTAAACGTTTGCACTTATTAAGCCTTATCAGTGCCAAAAATTTAGGCAAGATCCATGAGGGTAAATCCTCAGGACAAATGCCAGGACAGAATGACTGTGGTTACCTTTAGAAAATATATAACATGCTGTATTGTTCAGTGTTGATAGTCTCACTTTTGAACTTAAATACGTAATTGTTAATACCTATCCGGTAGGTAGGATACCTTGGTCAGAAGGATGTGGCCTTTGGAGTCCAGATAATGATGGTTTAAATCATTTCAGTTACTTAACTTTTAAGCCTGTTTATCTGTATGTTACCTCAGGAGGTTGTGAGGATTACTGAAATGAAGTAATGAACTCAATAGTCCCTGAAGTATAGCCAATACTAAATATATTATGGTTAATATTGGTTTCTATTTATTAATCACAAGTTCCAAGGCATTTGAGGTAGATTTATGCATTTTAAATAATTCTATAAAAGTTTTAATCTATATACAGTTAGGAACTTAAGTCATACGATATGGAAGATCTGAGTTTTCAATACAATAAAGATCTAAAAATATGATCTGACAAAAGTTGCAGGAAAGACTGAGCTCCAAAAGAATTATTACCTCGACTGTAAGAGTGCCCAAAAAATTCCACTGTTTCTCCCAATAGTGTGCTCATCTGAATTTATTGTGAGGCAGTTTCCTTGTGCTGTCCAAAGTACTAAAATTCAAACCAAAAGGTTAGCAGGGAAATGAAATCACTCAGCTTTACATACTAAACGCACAAATGCTACTCTTAGATACGCCCCAGAACACAAAGAAAACAAGCATCGAAATGCTCACCAGCAGCTGCAATTCCGATGAAAACAGAGGCTGTGTAGAAGGACCATGTGAAAGGCTGGATAAAAACGGCAATGTACATGCTAAAATATAACAGGTCAACGTATTACAGTCAAACAACACCTGAAACAGAATGCCAATTATGCCTTCTAGGAATCAGTGCTGAGGAGTCTCCTCTTTTAAAATTCAACCTGTAAAGGACTCCTCCAGTGTTGAAAACAAAATAATAAATGGGGACAGATGTGACCTACTGGTTTCTTAACTGACCAGTTCAAATTTGTGAAATCAGACACTGAATGAAGGTTTGCAGTTGGTCTTTGCCAATTGCTTAGCCCACGATGGGACCATAGTTCTACAGCCCACGAGAAAAGTTTAGTTATTTCATTTGAATTCCTGTTAGTAAACTTGATATAAAATAAGATTCTTTCCCGGGAAGTTCTTTTCAAGTCTTGCGGAAAGAGATATTTGAATGCTGTTTTTATTAATAGTAAAACAAAAGCAAGTATACACACGTCCAATTTCATTAAAACTACATGGTGTCCCTGAGCACCAAGACGACCACCAATCCCTAAAATATCACCTCTATTCTATTCAAGTTGGCAAGTTCCTGTTAGAAGTCTACTATGTGCCTGAAAGATGCTGAAGGCATTGTAAATCAAATGAATGAAAGAAAATTACGCTACTCACCTGTAAAACAAACCACTAGCAAACATAGAGAGTGGAGGTCCTACAATGGCAACCACTGATGGCGTGATCAAATTTGAAGCAGAGAACACTCCATAAATAATTGCCATGCTGTACACATAACACACAAAAACAAAACAAAACAAAACTGTCTCAAAAGTCCACTTTTTCAAATGTGAAAAACATCTACTTAGTCTATAGGTGTTTTACAATAAGCACTCACATTCTTTAAGTCAGCATTTGTGATAATTATATCCTTAAACTGAACGCCACCTTAAAGTTTTCACTTGCACAAAATATTGAAGTCTCATCAAATGTTTCTTTGAATAAGTTTGCCTTGAACGATATGGCTTTTGATGTACTGGTAAATTATAATAACAGCCAACACATAACATGTAACAGGCACTGTGCTGAGTACTTGACACATGTTTTTACTCTTAATCCTAAAAGCTCTGTGAAGAAGGTATTGTTATTTGTCCTTGTTTTACAAAAAAGAAAACAAACACAGAAGGGCTAACTAACCTGCCCAAAGTCCACCTGGACACCTGGTGAATGGTGGAGCCAGGATCCCATACCTGGCAATCCAACTCCAGAGGCCCTAGTCAACCAGTCTGTCCTACAAACTTAGTCTACAACTCCTGGCAACTGCATGCAATTTCACTGCTATAAATAACAAGGCCCAGAGTTATAACTTGCTTAAATCTGAGTTTATTTAGCTCAACCTCATGGTCTCACTGAACATTATTCAGCTACTATAGACCCAGCCCTACCTAGTATGCATGTCTTGTGACTAAAAGTATTTCGAAGGTTCTGAATTCATTTACTACTTATAAGTCCAATGTAAATTATTCTTTGGATTTATCAAATATGTCCTTTCACTTACTCTTTAGGATGTGCAAGAATACCAAGCACTGCAAGGAGTTGTAGCAATCCCTTAAAATGATGCGCATAAACATCCCTTTACTCTCGAACATCATACACAAGGGCAGGCTGAGGACAGGTAATAACCAAGTAAGACGTGGTGGGGAGGGGCGGGGAGAGATGACGAGCGGGACTGGTGTTGGCCACGATCTAATACCTGACTATAGCGAAATTAAGAAACCTACTTGTGATTAGATAACTGCGCATATTACATTCCCAGCTCCAGGCCCAGGGCACTAGTGACTTATGAAGGTCTTCCCACTTCATTTTCTCTATGTGCAAAACTGGGACCAAACACCTTAATAAAAATCTAAAAGCTCCTGATGACAGCATATGAATCATTGTGAAATTACAAAAACAGAAAGACCAAACGTTTCAGGAGTCATATAAAACGCCCTCGGTTTAAGATCAGGAAGATGTAACGTGACAACACTTTAGTGCTCACTAAATGCCAAGTACTGTGCCAAGCACTTCACAGGCATTAGCTGAGCAAGGAAACCGGGCTCATGGGAGCAACTTGCATAAGACAACGCAGCAGCGAGTTGTGAAGCCAGGCGCTCACGTGCGGGGTCTAATTGTACGTGAAACCTAACCCATCACCTTCATTCTATTACATTCTCCGAAATAGTCTAGATACAGAGAAAAAGAAAGCAGTCGCTACTAATTCACTCGTGGTATATTTACAGCCCGTGACTTTGACGGCGATTTAAGCAACCACTGTAACACATAAAGTAAAACCGACCGTACGGTACCGTACCTGGTGTATCCACTGCCGTGGAAATCAGTGCTGTTTAAGCTCCTGATGACAGTTTGCTGTGTGGAAGACAAAACTAATCAACAGAAGGAAACGTTTTTTCCAACCCCTCTACCCCCTGGACAGTCTCCAAGCCAAGTACTGAGAATAAAGAAATAACTGAAGGAGCTCAAGACTTAACACTGAAAGTGACTATGAAAGAAGAAAGAATAATTACGGGACAGAAGAAAAACCAGTGACAGGGAAGGGGAGGGAGCGACCTGCTGAAACGATGCCTTAACTCTCCAAGTATCATGCAGACCTTCATACAGACAGGCAATAAAAACAAAACAAGGTCAACATCCGAACCCCAAGTCAAATCACAGACACGCACGGCCATGCTCCACACCCCCGTGTGTCCAGAAGAAATGCCCGGTACAGGAACTCAAACCTAATCCTAAAAAAGCGAGGACGGCTGAGAAGATCCAAGGCGCAGACCGCAGCGCGCGCTTGGACACAATGAACGTGTATTCTCATCCCTCTGAGGGGCGTTGCGGGGGAGGGACGGCGGACCCCAACTCACCGCCACATTCCCACAAGTTTGAAAGGCGGTGAACATGAACATAAAGGCAACGCCTAAGACAATGATGTTGAAAAGCTTTTTAGATTCCGGGGACATTTTGGCTCAACTCTGCCGGAGGTCAGCGGCGGCGGCGGCCCAGGGCAGTCGGCTCTCCTCGGGGCGCACCCACGGCCAGTCCTGGGGGCGGGAGAGGGGGTGAGAGGAGGCAGATCCCGGAGCAGGGCAGCCAGGCTGTCAACTTCCACGGCGCGGATCCGAGTCGCGGGCTGAGGGTGAAGTTCTCCCCGCGGGCACAGTTAGGACATTCCCAGGATGAGATCCGAGTAGGGACGAGTCCGACACCCAGAGAAGCGCCAAGAACTTGTCGCCCCAGGTGGAGGGGCCCGCGGGAGGGGGGAGATTAGGGGCCAAGGGCGAGCTGCAGAGGCCAGCGCGGCCCCGCCCGCCCGCCGGGCCCTGACTCAATGCTGGTCATGCGACCCAGTCACGTGACCGCGGCGCGGCCCAGACCGCTCAGACCGCTGGGAAATGTAGTCCCCGCGCTGCCCGAGACTGGCAGGCGCACCGCGAGAGCTCGCTCGACCCGAAGGGAGCGGGGACAGGCCGGCGGGGGGCTGAAAGCGGAACCCAAAGGGAGAGTGGGGAATTCCGGGAGGGGACCTGGAGGCTACGTCGCGGGGTCTGAGGCGGCTGGAGTCACAGAGGCGCAAGTGGGGGAAGGAGTGTGCCCTCTGACCGAGGCGGGGCTGACGTCCATGCTGGAAAGCTGCGTGGAACCCGGGTACTGGCGCGGAAAAGAGGGCGGAGCCCAGCAGGGGAGCACCTCCTCTTCCTCCTGCCCGAGAGGCCCCCGCCGGAAGAACCGTTTCGCGGGCTTTCCAACTGCCGGCAAACGCCTCTCCCTCCGCCCAGCCGCAGTGACTCCGCGCTTTTCGGGGCTCTGCGCAGGCGCGCCGTACACGGGCGGGGCACGCGTCGGGGACGTTGCGGGAGGAGCCAATCAGAGGGTTCATTTCTGGGTGGCGCGGGCGCCATTTTGTGAGGAGGAATATAAATGGGCACTGGGGCCCGACTCTCGCCCAGTTGGTTCTGTGCTGTGGGGGCTGGTCGTTCCGTCCGTCTGTCGGCCTTTCGGGACCGTTTCCACGCGGGAGCCAACTGCCAGAGGAGAGGCGCGGCGTGGGGCCGAGCTAGTCTGAGGGAACCGCCGCCGCCTCTGCGGAACGCGCCGGCCCGCCCAGGGCGTTCGTTTTTCGGCGCGCAGTCGCAGGGCCCGGCCGACCGACTGCGGCCATGAGTTACGGTCGCCCGCCTCCCGATGTGGAGGGCATGACCTCCCTCAAGGTGGACAACCTGACCTACCGCACCTCGCCCGACACCCTAAGGCGCGTCTTTGAGAAGTACGGGCGCGTTGGCGACGTGTACATCCCGCGGGACCGCTACACCAAGGAGTCGCGCGGCTTCGCCTTCGTGCGCTTCCACGACAAGCGTGACGCGGAGGACGCCATGGACGCCATGGACGGGGCCGTCCTGGACGGCCGCGAGCTGCGCGTGCAGATGGCGCGCTACGGCCGTCCCCCAGACTCGCACCACAGCCGCCGGGGACCGCCACCCCGCAGGTACGGGGGTGGCGGCTATGGACGCCGGAGCCGCAGGTAAACGGGGAGGGGCCCCGGGCTGAATCACAAAGGTCCGCGGGGACACGTGGTGGCGGGCGGCCCCGGGCCTGGGCAACCCCGGCTCGCGACGGGGAAATGGCGGCGGCGGTGAGATAATGGCGGGCGG